CCCTTAATAAGCTCTATAGTAGTCCCCTATATAATCCCCTATATAACCCTTTAAAGGAATCCCCTATATAACCCTTTAAAGGAGTTTAGATCACAGCTCATATTCTGTTGAGGGACCCTTGAACCTCAATTTCTACTGAAACCACCTCTCTGGACAAGGACGCATCTGTCGCTCCCCGGCCAGCCGGCATTACCTGCCAAAAGCATCTCGACCGGATGCCACTTACTCATGAAAAGGGTTTAGGGTTTAGGGAATGGATCCTTGTAGTGAGGTCTGCATCGCAGTACCTATGTTGGCCACCGGCTAAACCGGAAGCCCTGAATCCTAATCAATTTCCTTATGCGAGTCCTGCCAGGGGTTGCGAAAAACTCTGTAGGAGGAAGCTCAAGTCATAGCCAGACTGACCCATATGAGCTATAGTCTAAACTCCTTAGAGGGGGTTATATAGGGGATTATACAATACCCTTTATTTAGAACTTAGGGTTTAGGATTCAGGGTTCAGGGTTTGGGTTTTAAAGGGTCTAAAGTCCTTAAAGAAGGTTACGTCGGGGATTATATAGGAAGGTATTATACCGGTCATTAAGGGGGCTACGAGGAGTTTAGACAACGGCTCATATAGGGCCACCGTCCCTCGCACTTTCGAGCTGGAATCATGGAATACATTTTATATCTGTCCCCCGGTGGTTTTGTTGTTTGAGGAGGGGATTGTTTTGTTAAACCCTAAACCCCTGGCCTAGTTGCAGACCAAGTTCGGCACCAACAGGCTCGCAGAAGCGACACAGCTTTGTCAACGTGCTGTTTAGCTTCCTCGAGAAGTTGAGATGAAATCCTTAGGACAGATCCTGGTAGTGAATCTGTAATTCCCTCGCATGCCTTAAGTTTGGGTACTGCCCTCCCCTCAGTAACGGTTGGATAATAACTATAATATGGTTATATATAGCCCGTAATAGGACCCTAAATATCGACTGTTACTGGGGGAGGCAGTACCCAACCTTAAGTCCTTATTGGCACGTATGGGATCAGAGCTCCTCAAGGTAATGTAGACCCCAGGATTCATAAACCCCCTCCTTTTAAGGGCCTTAATATTAGGATCCCTATTTCAATCCCTATTTAGGGGAGGGGGTTTATTAATCAGAGCCCTAAACCCTAAACCCTAAACCCCTAAACCCTAAATTCTGGACCGGACATTCTCTTCCGTGCCTGCACTGCTGTGCCTAAACCCTAAACCCTGAACCCGGTAGAAGACGGCAAGTGCTGAGCCGCTGAGCCAAGGTCCAAGTCTGAGTGGCGAGCACCACGTTTCAAGTGCTGAGCTCTCAGACTCCGCGTTATGGTGCTTAGGGTTATATATTAGGAGGACCCCCCACCCTGTAATAGTGGTATAAGAAGAATATAAGAGGACCATAATCCCTATTATCCCTTATAGTCACTATTACAGGGTGGGGGGGTCCACCTAAGTTATATAGGTGTTAGATAAGGGTTATATAGTGGTTATATAGGGGTTAGTAGGGGGTTATTTAGGGATATATAGGGGTTAGGGTTTCCTAAACATAGGGGTACCATTTTGGGGTCAGGGGCTTAGGGTTTAAGGCTTAAACTTTAAGGAGTTTAGGGGTATTACCCCAAGAATGGAAAATCAAATGGAAAACAGATTTCAGACTGAAATGGGAACTATGGCTTCATGCTTTATGGGATAAGCCCTAAACCCTAAACCTTTAGGATATATGGGAGTTTCCAGAAAGCTAGGGTCTCCTTTCTTCGGGGATTGTAGTAATTTGGTGTGTACAGGAGGGCTCTTTCACTTTCTGACATCTCCGCATGGCTCACTAGCTCTGTGTTACTCGACTGCTACTTGTCATCTTCCTTGCCGACCCTATAAACCCCCCAAAAAAACCTATAAACACTATAAACCCTGAACCCTGAACCTATATCGCTTTTGGGTGGAGGGGGCAGTCCTGGAAATAATCCCCAAAGCTGTGCCCTGAACTGGGGTTAGGGTTGAGGGGTTTAGGGTTGAGCGGTTTGGGGTTTAGGGTTTTCGACCTTGGGTGGACCCCCCACCCAGTAACCGTGACCATCAGGGACCATCCTTATTCCTAGTTTTCCACTATTACAGGGTGGGGGTTCCTCCTAATCTAGACCTTAAACCCTCCCTGAGCCATGCAAGTGGCAAAAAAAACTTGAAACCCTAAACCCAACCTCAAACCTCAGCTTGTGTTCCCCCTTAGCGCCTGGCTGGCACTCAGGTGGGGGACGAAAATGAGGTGAATCTACCGAATAACTTGCCCAGGACCCACCTGACTGGGGGTTGGTAGGAAATGAGGGACTATATTGCAAGGCGATTATATAGGAAGAATGGAAAAGAAAAAATGCAAACTACTATTTAGGGTTTCGGGAATAGGGGAATATATTATATGAGGATCATCTAGAGATTCTATTGCCTTCTTCCCTATCCACCACCAGTCAACTACCACCTGCACGGGGAGATGTGCCAAATCATAATCCCTTCTTTTTGGCCGGTTCGCATGGGAGAGTCTCGAAGTTGTGCTACTACTGCAGGGCCTCTAGGACTTAGCATGGCATCTCACTTTACCGCATGCGGGGCGGCTGCTTCAGCCCAGGAGAATGAGACAGGCACCATACAAGTCCAGCGCAGGTTGCAGCTGTTGCAATGGAATAGTTTCCCACAAGGCGCAGCGCATGTCGCAGAGCGTAGTATGCAGCATCATTATTTCGGACACAAGCTGCTGCAGGACCATATCCGAAACAAATAGCAGGCCGCAGCATTCTCAAAATTCTGAGACTTGGTGCGCACAGAGGCTGTAATTCCGACAGGTCTTGGCTTCTCCTCTTCCATAGCAATCTGTAGTATTTTCTGTGTGCGGGAACAAATGGAAAGAGAATTATTGCAGGCACCGCGCAGGGACACACTTGAATAACCCCCTGCGCAGCAATACACTCGCTCATGTGCGTGTACCGCGACGACTCAAGATTGATGTCATGGTGCTCTGCTAGCTTTCTTGGGAATAGGGTGGCAAGGTGGCGATTATATTGGGGGTAGATATGGGATAATGGAAAATAAAATGGCAACTATTATACATAGGCATATAATATCCCAGTCATTTCAGAAGGCCAGCATGTTGCTGAGACGGGCTCAGGACAGGAACGTGAAGGGGACGTCGTCAACCAAAAACTCGGCATTCATTGCAGCGATTCAGCAGAGACGTCTCTGGGTTGCATTCTCCGTCTTCCAACCGGGGCTTCATGGCACATGTCTGAGGCTAGATGGACATCATTTCGGGTAATGAAGGTCCAGGTAGAATTCATTCGCGGAAAAGCGGCCTGGCCATCAGGCGGTGCTGGCGCCAGGCTCTCTGGAGTGTTGTCACGCCCAGCCTGGCATCCAGGACTCGCCTGTCGAGTAGGATGATTTTGTGCTGCGCTAGTGGGGTCGCAAGATCCTAGGTCCCATGTTTGCGTGCTTTGAAGAAGGGAGCCTCGTTTGAGAAATTCCCAACTAGCACAAGCAAGCGGGTTTGATGCATCTGCGCTCTGGAAGGACGTTTCGTGTCCAGCACGCAGTTCGACGTCTTCTTTTGTGTGGTCATTTTGCTTAACACGATGGTGAGCCTTGGCCGCGCAAGCACAAACGTGAGCTTTCACAAGCAAAGCGAACTGCAGGCAATGAGCAGTATACATCATTTTTGTGCCGGGGACAATGCTGAGAGTCCCAGCGTCCCTTGGGCATGCTACAAAAAGTGCAAAAAGAGTTGTCACAGCACGAATTGCAAGCCCCGTACGAAGAAGCTGAAAGCAATAGTCATTCAACAGTCATAGAACATAGGAAAGATAACTTGCTGAGGATGGGCCTCGAACTGCAATATGATGGTCTTCAGAGAGGATATGAGCTCGGCTATCCGGATTTCAACTCCCCTGCAAGCATCTTAGCTGAAGATACCAAAATTTAAGAGGCATACAGGAAACGCTGACTACAGTAGTCCAAGGGGCTGATGGGCAACTCCGGCTGGACTCTTCGGATCATCTTATTGGAAGGACTGTCAGTCCAATCGGTTTTGCGAACGTCTTTAGGTGGTTGTTGTGGATGGATTTCTGCATGCTAGGGCATCAGCTCATGATCTCGGGGCATGTGGGACTGCCATACTACATCTTCCTGCGCAGACCCCAAGGTGGTCAAATCATGTATCTCGCAGCAGTCACAGTTTCCCCCAGCATGAGGGCTGTACTAAGAAAGTTCCTTTCATCTATGAAAGTGGTTGCTGGGAATCTGACTGTTTGTGGTGCTTGGTCTTGGCTGGCCTTGGGTTTCTCGGCACTCCCAAGCCTCAAACGAAAATTAAACCCCAGATACCTTGATCCCTACCTCCTTAACCCCAGATACCTTAAACCCTATACTTCCTGAATTTCAGATACAGTAAACCCTGCATCCTCAATACCAGAATACCTTAAACCCTAAATCCTATGCCTTAAACTTCATGAGGTGAGCTGTGGCCTCATGCAGAGACCGTGTTCGCCGTCCTAGCTGCAACCTCAACATCCCACGTCAGAGGGGGGGGGGTTCCAACAATTAGCGGTACCCTTCTCAGGGTCCCAATAATTAGGATCATCGTATTTTGGGGCAGTACCCCCATGCTGGGAAACTATCACATCCCAGCTTAGCAGGGTGTTCCCAAAGCTAGGATATTACCCCAAATGATGGAGAAACAAATGGACAAGAACCTGGAAAATTAAGTGGAAACTGGGAGTCTATGGGGTTTGAGAGGGATTAGGCATCGGATTAGAGGTATTCCAACAATCAGGGATTGTCTTGGGCGAGCCCAATAATGAGGTATGGACTTTGGGGGTATAAAATTGGGGACCCTGTTTTTGGAAACCCCAGCGAAACGCACATGACGTTCACAGTTCACAACTCTGTAAGTAAGCAGAAAGGACAACATGCGCACAGATGATGATTGCTGTGGCGATTGAAGCGGCTGTTGTATCAGATCATCAGGTTGACAATTGCAGAAAGCATGCGCGGTCGATATTTGCAAATGCCGAACAATGGACCTGAGGATTGGATATTCGGCATTGCATATGTCGTTGAGATTGGAATTCGCATTGCTGGGACGAGGCGGGCATGTGTCAAACAATGGCCTGTTGGTGCACATGCTCACACAATCATGCATCAGGCCCCCACGTCACGTGATCTTGAGCTGACTCTGAGCTCCTAAACTGTAAGCCCTGAATCCTAAATCATTGTCATATATAGATATGTGTATATATATATATATATGTAGTAGGCTCCATTTTCTTCTGTGTATACATATATATGTGCACTCTATATATATATACACATCTACATATATAGTAGGGTCCATCTTCTTTTCCAGTACCCGTACATAACCAACCTCATTACGAAAGTCCAGGTCCGCCTTCCTTTGCGATGCCACAAACTGGTTCGACACTTCTTTGGTGTTGCTCTGGCTGGGGGAGCTGTTTTGGAGTCAGCATGTGCCCGTGGATTCTGGCCTGGTCAGAGCCTTGATCCAGATTTCATGGGCTAACACAAACCGCTTAAGTGCCTCCCATGGTTCCTAAACTCCTCTACTTCTTTTTCCTGCAACTGCTGACATGTCATGTGCTTGTTCATGTTGATGAGCAGCGGCCCCCTATCCGTCTCGAATAGTTCGATCTGCTTGTGAGCGCGAGTCAGAGTTTCAGCGCTCCGCTTTCGTTAGCTGTAGTCAGTGTAGTCTGTTTCCTGAGCTGCCGGCCATTGAGCTCAGGAACTTTGAGATTAGCGAGGATCCTTCGTCTTGTCAGACTCATGCGGACCATGCAAGGATTTGACGCCTTGACGCCTGGATGTTATTGGCGCGCAGGTTAGGGGTGAATGGCTGCACCACGGTTTGTCCGTTCGTGCTTGAGCTTGGTAAAGCACCTACTGAAGCTTACATCGACAGCAGAAGAGCTCATTGAGAAGGGGATTTCTCAGAATCACAGCCCCTACTGTACCGGCAAAATTGGAGGCAGCCGATTCTGTGATCCTTACAGCACGTCCATGACGTTGAGAACCCTAGCTGAGTTCGTATGGCTGGCAGTCAAAGATGGTATCGCAGGCAAATCTAATGGAGCTTCGGTTTTCTTGTCCACAAAACATGGCAAAGAAGTTGTAAACAGTGGTCTCAACCGCTGAAAAAGGAGAACAGACACGTCCATGGGTCTCAGTCAACTTCTGGGATTGTAGCGAGAGCACAGGGATGAGTGAGGGACCTTGGTTTGGTTTTAAATGACCATGTAAGGTACATCATGACGACTGCCATGTATGGGAGCTTGGTTGTCCTGTTCTGGTCATTCATGCAACCTGGCCGCAGCTGATTTGCTGTTGGCTGAGGGGAAACGGGACCAGTGGTTCAGACCCTGTTAAGGTTCTGAATATCTTTTTTGTGTTTGGGGTGGGGGAGTGCATGTGCGCGTTTGGGACTATTATGCTGGATGCCCCGAAAGGCTTCTGCTGCTCGTGCAGACGACGATTGCGTTTTGCTTGGCCCAGATCTTGGGAGGCTTTTTCCACGCAACAGATGTCCCCGCGTCTTGGCCGTTTCAGTCTGTGCAAGGAGCTATGGGAATAGCCCCACAGGACTACACAAGACTTCGCCATGCATGAACCTCTTTGCACACGGGCCCCTTCTTGCTTTACCTCTCTAGGAGTTGCTGGCACCAAAGACCATCCGCAGGCTTCCAAAAAGATAGAGGTGTTCGAATACTTCGGCACGGCATCCCGAGCCATGTTTACCATGTTCGAGCTCACTTTGGCGCAGCTTGGCTTTGGGTTGAACATGGCTGAACCATGCCACTTCGACACAAGCTTTCGGCAGAAGACACACCGTAAAAAGCTGAATGGTCCAGGGATGGGATGGTGTATACTGTGGGTATATAGGGTTTAGATGGGGATAATCAGAAATAACATGGAAACTACTGTCTAGGGCTTAGGGTTTAAGGGTTACATATGCGGGGTATATCAGCTGCGCTTAACCTTGAGAAGCCCCCATCCACGATATTTGCTGGCCGAGGAATTGGACGATTGTTGGGAGGAGCCTGCAAGAAAATGTGTCCGCAGCCCGACGGATCTACAAGAGTTTTGTTATACCCTCCAGAGACCTGTAAGCCGTGATAGTGCCCCTCCAAGTAGATAGAATGTGCGGTACGTGGGGATCATATCATGTTATAGGGCAATTCCATATTCTCTCTCTGTTCAAGTGGGGCTCTGGGGGATGCGGGATAGAACTCATTTTAAGGCTATGCCTAGGGGCTACGAAGTGTCAAAGCAATCCAACATTTCACTTTCCACAACCCGGCAGGCTGTGGGGTTCTGCTTTGCGCCCAGGCAACCCAATATCCCGCCAATTCAGGAAAAGATCTACCCTAATATTCCCCCAGTTTCCATTTCATGTCTATATTCATGTCCATTTGATTCTCCATTTTAGGGGGAAGTAACCCCAATTTAACCCTAATAGAATCCCAAAGCCATCCTATGATGAGGAATACTTCGCTGTCTTTAACGTGGCCTACAAGTTGGTCGTAGGCTTTGCGGCCGTCGGAATCATCAACGCAGTATTTATGCAAGAAACCTTTAAAGTGGCCTCGTCTGACGACAATGTCATGATGCGACAGAAGGACCGGGGCGAATTAATCTGCATTCCTAGTTAGAGTTTCTGTCTCAGGTTTGCTATCTATCTACCCTAATTATTCTGGGTTCGGACGCGATGTTAGGCAGCTCATTGACGTGGTGACATGATTCTTGAATGGCAGTCGCAAATCGTGGCACACCTTGGCGAGGAGCGGGATTTACGCTTGCATACCAAGAAAATGCAGACGCTGTTCGACGCTGCGGACGAGTCTGGCGATGGTGTGATTGCGACTTGCATATACGGTAGTTTCCCAAAATAGGGGGAACCTAATATAGACCCCAAAATACTATAGTCCTTATTATGGGGAACCCCAAAATGGTACCCCTTAATTTTGGGAAACCCCCATATGGTCATGCAGCACAATCAGACCATCCCTTAAAGCCAGGAACAAAAATCTTCAGCATGGAGTTGCGAGCACTACTTGGCATGCTCAGGACATTGATGAGTTCAGAAAAATCTTTGAGCTGCCGGAAATCAGGACGGGAGATCACGCTGGGCATTGACCTATCCTTTTGCACCCGAGCCTGTCTCGTTGAAACAGTTCTGATAATAAGATTCCCTTAATCCTCTCCCCCTAATATTGAACCCCCCCGACCTCCCCAATATTAAATGCTGCTCATTGTATACTATAGTGTATTGCGAGTATTTAACATTACGGTGGCATGGGGGGTTTGATATTAGGGGGAGGGGATTTCTCAGGCAAGCTCCGGGTGCTGGAGCCATGCGGGAATTCCAAAAATTCGGGGCATCTTTCTGAAAGTCCCTATACAAAGGACTATACTGTAGTATATTGGGCCCCAAAACGGGGCCCACCAGTTCTGGAAATCCAGATAGTTTGTTTGCATCAGTGCATGCCGACAGCCAGGTAAGTGGAAGTCACTCAGGTGGTTCATAGCAAGAATCTCTACCTGAGAAAAGGTATCCTAAACCTTCAATATTTCTGAGGACTCCCAAAATTGGGGGAGTACATTTCGAAGACCCGAAGCTGCCGGATGAGCCTTTCAACCAAGTCTGTTGTAATCCAATTTTGGTCGGGCTTTTAGACCTTTAGATTCTGCAGGTACTTTAGGGCTGGCAGTTATCATAGATCTCCCAAACGAAGTTCGCAGGACTTGGTTGTCTGCACAAGAGCTACCAGTCCAAAATCCTGACCTTCTCTTCACGCTCCTGGATGACGCTAGGTCATTATGTGTATGTCTCGGGTCCGCCGGATAGTACCACCAAATAGTTGGATCCTGGCTCCTTAACATAAGAATCCCTCAAATTGGACTTGGAATTCTGATCGAGTAGCTCCATGTCCCACCAGGACGCCTCAGACCTGTCTTCGCAAAACCTTAAGTAAGTTGAGATGTTCGCGAAGACATGCAGGAAGAATCAATCAACAGAAATGGTTTGTTTCGATATGGTAGTTTCCCTAAATAAGGGGACCCAATATAGACCCCAAAATACTATAATCCTTATTATAGGGACCCCCAAAAAGGTACCCCTAATTTTGGGACACCCTCATATGTTTTGATACAGGTAGGCCGCAAGCCTGACCCAGGATGGCGATGGTGGGCTGACAGCCGATGCTTGGATGCCCTATAGGCTTCCCACCAAGCGATCAGAAGCCGTAGTGCGCTTCAACTCCCTTCATGAACAAAGCCAGGGTCTGACTGATGATATCTCAAATTCTCTTCTGTGTTTTCCTGCGGTGAGGGTAAAAGCGCAGAGAGAAACGCAGGCATGAAGAGTGCTGGCAAGCTCCGGAGTGCAGTAACCGAAGCAAGGATAGCCAGGAGATGAAATAAAGATCAAACTCTCCCTTAGGAACCATCCAGTTGTATTATATGGGTTGTTCTAAAATTATGGGCCCTGTTAGCTTATAGAGCATATTGCGGCACCTAGTATGTAGGGGTACCGAAATGGGACTCTCATTCTGGGAACTACTCATATGGATGGGATATTTTGAATTTCAAATAACCTTGCCATGCCAGGCGATCGAGAAGAAGCCCCTGACTCGGTTCCAGATTCCCAAAGCCTTAAACTCTTAACCTGAAATCCCTGAACTGCAACCCTAAACCCTGACCGGGATAGTTGCCACGTAGTGCACCGCAATGCACGCACGCCGAAACCATGATTTCCGGGACCTAAGCAGACTCCTGCTGTTAAGGAACGTAATTTAAGTTGTATATACAGTAAAACATAAGGTCTCCCAATATAACCCTAACTAAACCCTAAACCCTTTTTGGCTCAAGCCATTTTGGCTCAAGATTTTGGCCCTTCAGAACCACCTGAGCGTCAGGGTAGGATGGAAGAATAGGCCTTTACATGGCCCGACATCCTGGCAAGGAAACAATACGTGGACAAAGATTAGACTGCTGTGTGTTGGCGAAGGCCCACGGCTCTACGAAGCCAAATTACTGAATTCAAGCCTAATTCTCATGGAATTCATCTACAGGGGTCCCCTGGATGTGTGCTCACGTGTACTGCCGAGATGAGCTTGGGCAAGCTAAGATGCCGCGTGGGTGGCAATGTAAGGGTGTTTTCAGGCTGCCACACAGGAGTTTGACACTGCTGGATTGGGAGACGGATGCCGCCGGACTTGGGCGCGTTTACGTTAGCATTTTCATTGCTCATTGTGGCTTATTGTGATGCAGAGATACAAGCTGACTGGCCGGTGACCTGTATGGTTGATGCGAAGGGCCATCTTGGCTTTTCCTGAAGGTTACGTGTTGCCGGAAAAACGCGAATGCCGCTATGCAAAGGCCCAAGGGTGAACAGTGAACATGTGCCAGCTATGAGCAGGAGGCCGTAGCATGTGTCATTTATGTACAGAATCCTAATAACTGAGCGCAGCCTTTTGTGCAGATTTTCAGCCCTGCCGTCTCTTTGTATTTCGAAATCAACTTGGGTCGGCTCAAAGCTTGTAAATTCAGCTTTCGTTGTCTGGAAAACCACATTGTCAAGAGCGAGGGCTCTTAGCTCTACCAATGTCGTTTTGCAGTCTCTTTTACCGTGATCTTGTTTCACCTTACCAGCTGGCTTAATATGGTTGGCTTTGTTTCAAGCCTCATGCATACGTGCGACGGGTTTCAGGACAGGACATTCATTGCCGTGCCTGCACTGCGGTGCGATGCGCGTGTCTAAACCCTGTATAACCCCAATATAACCCTAAACCTTAAACTTAAATTCAGTTCCTTACAAGAAACCCAGATCTCAGGAGGAGCTGGTGAAGGGCGTGGATCGCCTGAAGGGCGCTGCGAAAGGCTTCTTGAAGTTGCTATAGAGGTTGCTTCGGGTTAGGGATGATGTTGCGGTTTAGGGGCTTAGGGTGTAGGGTTTAGGCATATACCTTTGTATCATGCAGGGACAAAAAGGGTTAATGGAGAGCCAAATAGAAAAGACATCGGAAAATGAAATGGACACTGGGTTTAGGGGCTGGGGTTGGGGGGCATCATGGGGCGGGGAGTCGCATTCCCAGTAGAGGCTCTGCAAAAGGGGATGAGGCTATGATATGAGCTTTATTGAGAGGATATACTGGCTACATAGAGGCTCTGGGGGATGGTGCAGGGAGATTATGCAGAGTACTGAGTAGTTCCTGTAATTACGAACAGAATGGATGGAGCCATCATTGTGATTCTTCTTTCTCGGGTAGCTGCTACTGCTACTGCAGGCGCTAGTTCAATTACATGTCTGCAGCGTTCGATGCGATCGGATTGTGCAAACGTCGGCTGTCGGCAGCCCTTTCACACTCAGACGGCGAAAGCTGAGGAATGGACTTGGAAGCATTTGTCATGGAGCATCGCGCCTGTTACGCATTTTCATGGGAGTGTTGGTGCTGTGGTGAAGCTTGCACTTACAAGTCGCTCAATTTTCTTCTGCAGCCTCTGCATCACCCCACCAACTCCGCAGTGTATTCTTGTGCAGCAGGCAGCTACCTGAAGCCCTCACCTTCGCTGTTGTCAGGCGCTTTCGTCAAGCAGATTTGCCAGAAGCTGGATATTCCTGAGCAGAGTCGATTGACATTGAGGAGCTAGCCGCTGGCAAGCAAGCTCCAAGTGTTGTTTTGGCTTCCCAGGGGCTGGGCAGCAGCCTGGGGGAAGTTGGCTTTCAACTCGGCAGTTAATTCTCCTGGTGTCCTTGACAAATGGCCGGGTTCTGCACGCGTGAATGTGCTCCAACCGCCACTGTTTCCGTGGGGGCAAATAGTTGGACATCCTGGAACAGTGTTTGGGGTCGCCTTGCCAATGTTAACGGTTAATCAGACAGGAAATTCAATCGAAGCTACTGTAGCGCTTAAGGTTTAGGGCTCAGCTGCTGGAGAAAGTATTACCTCTTGGCAGACGGCCGTCCAATGTTTGCTCCTTTCATGCGTTCTTTCATGCGCGAGGTTTCTCAAAAGGAGGGGTGGGGCCATAAGGATCCCAGCTATACGTTGGGTTTATAATGAGATTCTAGGGCTTCTTCCCCAGCCTTCCGTAGGCCCCAAGGGGCTTCCCGAAACTGAGGCCTTCTTTGGGAATTTTGTGCCTGCAATCTCGTTAACTTGTACCTCACCCATATAGCTCAAATCTACATACTAACCCCCTAGAGATTCTTGCGAGAAACTACTCATGCGTGTGTAAAGCTCTGGCACTTGGAGCTGGGCTGCAGCACATGCCTCTCCCACTCTCGAATTCACATTCGAGGATTTCCCAAAAGTCTGGGGTCCCAGGGTGATTGATTACTCACCATAAGGCTTAAAGTATTCGGGGGATTCAAAGGTGGGAGCCTGATTTGGAAAATGCTCGTTAATTCGCGGCGTTGCAAGAATAATACAAAGCATGCAGGTTTTGACGTTGGCCGTTTTGTCATGACCTCTCAAAGAGATGTCGAAGACCGCTGCCATTTCGCAGACACGGGCCAAGACTGCCTTTAAAAAAGGCGCGTAGTTTAAGCTTGGAGGACCCTCTCTGAAGCCTGTGTTCAAGTTGAGGTGCAGGTGGTGCGCAGGGTTCTGCTGTGGGTCCTTTGATTAGCCGGACGTTTGCAAGGTTGCTCTCAGTCTGACGTCTACAAGGTGTGTTTGGTGCTGCATGCTACTACTGTACAATTGGGGTGGCTGCTTTGTTGTGCTGCGGCGGAGATGGTCAGATGTTGGCGGACAGAGTGATACTGGATCAGATTCGGGTCTGAGACGATCAGCAAATCGCCGGATTGGGAAAAGCTTGTGGCAAACATGCTGGTTCGATGAGTTCTGCCTCCTATTGCTTTCTGGCTCTTGCAGTCTCTGCTAGGGCGGGAGATTTTGCCATAGGGTGGGGGATTGGAGGATTCTTAGATGGCACGTCTGGCTCCAACATTTGAGTATGCAAAGCTAACACCACGACCGAAACCAAATCGACAAAGTTCTAGCTCGCAGGCCTTTGCATAAAGCACTTGCAGGCATTTAGTTTCACTCCTGTTTGCCAACATGGCAAGGCCCGGAGTGTTGCAAGGGTTTCGGTGCTGCTCGCGGAGAAGATTTTCTATTTGCAATACCCCTTGTGTCTCCCGTCATGATGCTAAATGCCTTCAAATGGCCAGGCAGGATGAAGTGGCCAGGCAGGATGAAGAAGAAGGTGCATTAGACCAGTCCGACACCCATTTCTTGCTCGTTTGGGCAGTTTCCCCTTTTGTCAATGCTGCTCAAGGACGCAGGCCAGTGCCCCTGGGGCCGAAGCGGAAGGTGAGGCAGTGCAGGCAGGCCAGCTGTGGAAAGAGTGGAAAAGAAAAACGAAAATGAGGGGGAGTATATAGGGGTTAAATGGGGATTATAGAGTTTATATTGGGGTTCTATAGGGATAATGGAAAAGAAGATGGAAACTGCTATAGTAGTTTCCACTTTCTTTTCCAGTATCCCCATGTAACCCTAAACCCTAAACCCTTTTCTATTGCCCCTCTAATACGTCTGGCCGGCTTGGCCCAAAAGGCTGCTGACGCTGAAGCGGGGAGAAGTGAAGTGAAGAGGACAACTCCAACTTTGCCCAGCCCTGAGGTGCTTTAGCACAGGTGTTCGCACCCTAAACCCTAAACCGTAAATATTTTCCATTATCCCAATATAACGCCAATAATACCCCAATGGGTGCGATGCTCAGGCCTCCCATTTCATCAGCAGTGTCAACTCCAGCTGCGCCGCAGCGCCCCCAAACATGGCAAACTTGCAAAAGTTCAGGGCTTCAGAAGTGTGCTACTGTATCAGCTTAGTTCTGCAAGGACGGATGTCCACGGCACAAAAGCCGAGGAGGGCGTCGTCCAGGATTGGATGCAATTTCAAAGTAAATGCCTTCTCAGTCCATGCGGCCCTTCATGCAGCCGCGACCTTGTTCAGACCAGCGGCACTTCAGCGCAAGAAGCTGATGGGCTGGATGTGACACTGTTGGACCCTGAGTGACTCCAGCAATAATAGCAAACAGAAAACTAGATAGCAATATTGATATTGATACTGTTCGTTGGGCAAAGGACATCATCACAAACGCCTTGCTTCAGGCCTCCAATCTCTCCGACCCCAGCCGCAGCGGCAGAAGCTTCAACGTGGCCTGCTCAGTACTCTCTGTTTCGTGTCAA